GGCGAAAGATTGCAGAAGGGACGTGACATGTACAAAGTGCAATCGACGCCATGCCGAAACAATGTGTGATCCTCGCTTGCTGAATTCGATTAAGAGTCCACAAACATCCACAGCTCTGATGCAGCTAGAAATGATTGGAACTGGCAGCTCTAAATGGCGTGTGTTCCTTCAGACAGCTATAGCTTGGGCCACAGGACAAGGAAATAAATGCCTAGTTCGAGTTTTATTCGATGGAGGCAGCCAGCGCGGTTTCATCACTGAGCACTTGGCTCAAAATGTAAATTGTCACGTACTAGATCACGAGAACTTACGGTTGGATATTTCAGAGGACAATATGATGAGATGACATTCTAGCGTGTGCTCGCCACTTTAACTTCACAGCGTAGTAAGACGCCACTATCGATCGAAGCCCTCGTCATGACAAACATCTGTCACCAGTCTGTCCTACGACCACATCGGGCCTTCATTGACAAGCTTGAACAGCAAGGATATTACTTCTCTGATGTTGATCAAGCCGGAAGCCCAAACGCGATCGATGTCTTGATCAGTAGTGACTATTATTGGTCACTTATCACAGGCAATACAAGTAATTTGGACAATGGTATCTAGGCCGTAGACACTAGTTTAGGCTGCACTCTACATGAGCCAGTAGCCTTCTCCTCTACTATCACGTATTGCAATGAGGCAATTGTTATGATGGCAGTGACAAACTGTAAATTTACAAAACAACTACGATAACGTAGAAATAATCAGAATGAAATGCAATGGAGGTAGAAGGACCCACAATGAAAACCCAGAAGAAATTTCAGTCTAAGACGCTTCCAGGTTGCAGTCAGAAGTCAACGAGGCACCATGTGTTTCTATGAAGATGAAGAAGTTGGCTTTGAATCATTCACACGTTATCAGCATGCAGTCTATGCGACCTTCGGAGTTGCATCTTGAAAAACAAAAAGAATAACCGGAAGCCATGACAAAGATATGGCATCCTGGCGCTGACGTATTGTCGTCAAGTTGGACAAGTTCTGTGGAATTCTTGAAGCAAAACACAGCAAATAAACGGCAGCAAACATTTACAACAGAAGTGACTTCAGGCCTAAACGACACTCTTGGTGTATTGGATTCTTCCACACTGAAGATGAGCCCTTGCAAGCAGAGCCTACGGGACTATTTGACAAAACGAGCAGTGGGGTCGTAAATCCTTCCCTGTCCGGTGTGCACGACACAAATGGCTTGCTCCTGAAGACATTGAATGGCCGCACAACTCTACTGACCAGCGTCACGGCTTGGCTACTACACCATGCTGCCAAGCACAAGCAGAAAAGTGCATCGAAGGGAGCCTTCAATGCCGAAGAAATGAAAGTCGGCGTAGTATGCTTTCCTGGGAACAATAATTTACCAGACGCCTTTCAGAAGTGAGAATAACGTTAAGCCAAAAGTTAGCGCCTAGTTTACACCAGTCAAGCGAGCCCCGGAAACTATAGATTCTTCTAATAGTGGAGCTCCACAGACTACTTGATAGAGCTGCCATGAAACGACCCGACCTTTCAGCATCTGTAGCCACCGGAATTGAACTTTTTTGTGAAATTCTGCGCGTGGGGCAGTTTGTTCGAAAAAAAGATCGAAGTCGAAAAAGACGAAGAACTTTGCTTTGATTCACGCAGCTGCAGCAGCAACCCACAAAGTCGAGCTGTAGTTTAATAAACCCTTTTCTTACGCAACGGAAGGCTCGATTTTCTACACTCGCCACTTTTCCGACCAAGAATGCCGTGTTGCGCTGATAGCGGCATGATCGTGATGCGATAACGCGAGATAAACGTGCAAGATAGATAATTACTGATATGTGATAGAAACACGCCCCAAATACACCCTTTTGTTAACGGAGCCATAACTCCCGGCGACAAGGGCACTATTTTGCCGTATCGCTATTCCTTTCGGCGTACTGGCTGCCGACAGTAGTAAACTGACGTTGGCAAAAGAGCGAGATCGCAGCAACGGTGTAACAGAGGGTTGATTGCAGGAGATGTTGCCACGCGAGTGCGATGCACGTACGACGCATTTTCAAAGTTGCGGTCGAGAAACACAGCGGAACGATGCATTAATTCCGTCCGTCACCTTCCGTGCACCGCCGTTAGCAACGAAGAACTATATGTTATGTCGCCACTGTAACGGTACCAAAAGTGCATGGCCTTTTATATGTTTGCCTTTGCGCGGAAAAACACTTCAGCTCATTCGCATGACCATACCCGCTACCATGAAATCATTCCGGAACTATGAAAAGAGTATACATGCTGAAATAGCGGCACAGCTCACGGACGACTCGTCAGGCTTCAATATGTGTGCATACGTTTGTACAGCGACTCATCAGTGAAAACTGGTGTGGCTATGCATGAAACGCATTACCATCGTACGTCAAGCTTTGTGCACCCCTAGCTAGTTGCTTGCAGTGCATCGCCTACTAAGCTCACTTCATCAGCACTGCGCCCTGTAACGTATATGCGTGCATTTGCCCTTGCGTAGAGATATTTTTATTGCGATAGCAATTATATGGACAGTCTCGGCTGGTTTACGCTGTCGCCACCGTTATCATGAACCGTGTATGTATACGTATCTATGTATATATGAAAACTCAAAAAAGAAAAAAAGCCACCTGTGCTTGGCACCCAGTTCATCGCGATGCGCCAACGTGCGCTTATCTCCCACGCATACTTTGCCCGCAGGTGGGGGCGAGGGGAGGGGGGTTAGGTGCTTGTGCACACGCGCTTATCCTTCGGTGGGGAGAATTGTGGGCCTTGGCATTTCACCGGAATAATCGCGTTAGTTGCCTGGGCTACAAAGGTCACTTCAATCGCTGGGCGGGCCCCGTTTGCGAAAAGAGTGCGCTTTTCAAACACAGCGAAGTAACAACTGGGACACTCCTTAGTGCGCACTCATATCTGTAGCTGTGATTATGTTTCGTGCATCGTTGTTGTTTAAACAGCGTGTTAAGCGTTGATCTGTAAATGTTGTTAGTTAGCTATCATCTTGTGTCTGTTGTTTTCGTGCGTCATTTGTGAGCAGCGCACTGCACATTGCGATCTGCTAGCCGTTCTCAGTGTACATTCCAAGTTATTGTTGCTATCGCATTCATTGCTTGGCCCTTGCAGCGAAACAGACTTTTTTTCTTCATGCTCGCAGCACTGAACCCGGCAAATGTGTGAAGACTATTTTGACGAGCAAATGTGGCAGCGGCCATTTGCCTTTGTTTCCACGAGCGATACGCACTTGCGATTCCGCACACACAGGCGTGGCAGCAGACGGCGTGCGCTAAACCGCTAAGCTACGTGTACTTTCGAGCAGGCAGTACATGATTTAGATTGATTGAGATGTTTATGGTTAGTAGGTTTGTCGCGATGTCATACCGCCGCATTCGTCGGTAGCCGTCGTCATGCTCTCGTGAATTCCTATGCAGGCATAATCGCACACGCCCCGAAGTCATAGTAATCACTGCATGCTCTACTGAGGCTCTCATCTCAAATTCGCAAAATCGCAAGTTTTTCCAGTTACATATGCGAACTAATATTCGTGAACATCGAATACTGAGGAATATTCGAGGTAGTTTGAATATTCAAAATTTTCAAATCAAATACGAATATTACAAATGCAATCTTCGACGAATACTCAAAACTTTCGAATATTCGCACACTCCTAGCAAAAACGCATCAAAAACCAAGATGTGTTGGTTTGCCGGAGGAAATTATTCAGAAAACCATCAGCATTTGCAAAATGTGCCAAGCATCTGAATGTGAATGATTCCTTGCCTGACATTCTTAAATGCATTTTTTCTTATCTAATGATGTATCCACCTGTGATGTCGTGGCTAAAACATAAGGCTTCAGTAATAAATACTGAGAATTTAAATCCAACTGTCAGGCTATATTTGATTTGTTTTTCCAGTACATACATTTAATGTGCTGCATTCATGTCACCCACGTGTGCCTATGTCACAACACTGTTAGTTGAGTTTGTGTGTATGTGATAGCCATTCATTCATTTAAAATGACAAGGGCACAAGTTGCCCATAGAAGTGCTAGATACATAGAAGTACTAGAAGTACTTCTATGTACGTCTAGTATTTCTAGTAAACATAGAAACTATAGAAGTACTAGAAGTTCTAGTAGGACGAACCATGATAAATGCATACGTCCCTTCAGTGCCCACAGCAATGTGTTTAAATATTCTTTTTTCCCTCGCGCTCTCAACGCTTGGAACGCACTACCAGGTGAAGCTGTTAATATTACAAATATTGATCAATTTGGTTCTTTTGTGGAGCAATAACAGAGCCAGTATAGTTATATTTTGTTGTTATTCTTGTTGCGATAGCGAAAAACGTGTTTTGCAGTGGTCTATTATACTCTTTTGTACTTATATATTGTTTTTCATGCGTAGTACGTGGTTTTTATAATTGTTTTTATCTTCTTCTCGTGTATGGGTAGAGCACCAATGTAGTATTGTTGTACTCGCTATTGTAAGTGTTCACTGTTGTGCGTACCGTCCCTCAAAAACTTTCCCAGAGCTATAACTGTACACAAGATATACAGTCACTCTGATTATTTAATATAATGAAGCTATTAATGTGAGGTGTGATTTCTTAAACGCTAGGTTTCATTGCATGCAGTGTTGATGTTACAGCTTTTTGCACTATTCTGTGTGCACACAACTGCACCCCAAACTTTGCAACTATTACAGCAAAGTGAACATTCCACTGTAGCACTGCTGCAGGTATCTTTGCCATTCGTAGCACTTCTAGTCTGCAGATCTGAAATCTGTTTTCTAACGCCCCTAGTGCAGCATCTCTTCCCATTTGCTTAGGGGTTCTGGGGGGGGGGGTCATAAAAATTTATGTGAAGTAGGGCTGCTCACCTCACTGTCAGAACACAGAAGTGACTGTTTGGATTGCTATGCTTAGGATTTTTTAAATTTATAGTGCAGTAAAGGAGAGCATGCTGCCTGTTTATATACAGAGGATCAGTCCCGAGCAGTCGGCGTGCTTCCTCTGGGAGCTGCTCAATGCTGAGGGCCAGCCGCTGCGCCTCTCCTTCTCTGTGCTCTACGTTCACGGCACGGGCGAGGATCGTGTTGAAAACAGCTTCAGCCACACCTTCCGCATCGAGGATTACCAGGTGTGCGGGTGGGTGGGTGCTTGCACGCGTGCATGAATATGAACCTCTATTCCTGAGTGCAATTTTTGCCGTGAAGATTCTCAGCTAAGTTAAAAGGTTGTGTGCTGTAATCAAGATAGAACCTCTGAGGCCTAAACTAGAGGAAAGTTATTCACAAACTGTCGCGACTAGCGGCTGTGCCGTGATCTAGGAGAGGGGATGGTTGGCGATGTTTCGTGTGCTGGAAGCAGGCCCACCAATAGCGTCAGCTGTCACCAGCGTCTCTCAGCCCACTCAGTTTCCACTGCGGTTACCCAGAACCACCATGAATTGCACCAGCATCGAGCAGTGCTCCCAGCTGAAATAAAAATAGTAAATTATGTGCCTTTGTGCGTGGCGAGAGTGAGATGCAAAGTGGAGGTGGAGAAAGGGATGAATAGGACAGGAACACACGTACCCTGCAAGCACCATGTTGAATGTAACGTCACTGTTCGCGTTGGTGCGCAGCCGCCGTGCAGTGGCAGTCTTCCAAAAATATAGCCAGTGGTTCAGAAATATGAGAAATAAACTCCCTTTATCGGAACAGTTGCATCTTCCAAGTAGAATTTCTTTGTTTTCGCCAGTTTTCCGATTTTCATTCAGTATTTCTTTAAAGTGCCATGGGCAGGGTGCATAAGGGGCACATGTCACACAAGCACTTGCCCTCCACTCAAGCTATAGCTATATTAGTGCTCCACTCCTCTCCCAGCCACAATGCAACTCTAATTTGCACCCCCCTTTCTCTTTTGAGATTAAATTTGGCCAGCACTTATGATACGTTAGGATAACTTTCTCTGGTTTTTTTTTGCAGTTTAAGGGAATATTAGTGAGTTTACTCACGTGAACAATATTGTTTTTATACTACTCCTGTATTGACGAAACTGCCGCAGTATGAGATAAGCATATAAAATGAAAAACAGCAGCAGATGCAGTGGGCCCAGTGAGAATCTTTATGCTGCAAACTTTGTTTGCATCTTTGTCTTTCATGTAATGCTAGCAGGTGCATGATGCAATGTCTTTTCCAAGGCCTCTTCTATAATCACTTCATGTGTGGGGTACGATTATCGCGATATCGATTAATTTTATCCATTTTCTTTAGCCAGGCTATAGACTCTCAGTAAACAGAAATCTCTTCAACAAAGCTTCTGCCTAAATAGAACTACTGTTGCTGATACGGTCGGTTTCACACTTGCATTCTGCACCCCTGTTCATCTCTCAATAAATGAAACATATTTTCCTGGTACCTTCAGGCCCTGTAGGTCTACCGTGATTGGAAGTGATGCGTAAGCCATGTAACGACAAAATCGACCACAGGGGCTCGTGCATTAACCGGGCGAATGTGAAAAAGAGAAAGACGAAAGGCAGATAAAGAATGAGCGGCTCATCGTACAACCGTTGCCTCTTGTCTTTCTGCATTACAGCCAAAAGGAAATCATTAAGTGCCAGTTGGGGGTGACAGCTGAAAAAAGTGAACTCAGCAGACTGCTAGTAAAGACTAGAAAGACTGTAAAGACTGTAAAACTAAACGTGCATACTCCCGTAAGTAACTTGGCCAATTGAAGGAGCCATGACTTAGTCCTGGTATACTCACGTTGGCTCTTCTGCACTTTAATTTTAAGTCAGAAAAATCGAGAGAGGTTCGCAAAGATGGCTTCGCTTTAATAACTGTCCTGCGTTTCTTGTTTTTTTCTCTCACTCCCTTTTTCTTTCAGACGCTATACACAGTGCGTGTGCGAGTGGAGCCGCAGTCTGGAGCTGAGTTCTGCCGGGCAGACTGCGCATGTAGCCTGCACGTGCACATCAGTCAGCTACAGGCAACAGCGCCATCTGCACTCATGTACGAGCTCGTTCCAGACGCAACAACCTGGGCCGTGCTTGGACGCACTGCTGGTGGGTGCACGTGCTCCTCTGTAGCAGTACAGGCTCGTGAAGTGCTAAGGGGGTCAGTTTTTGTTAGTGCTGTCATGTAAATTTTGCTGCTGCAGGTTCACATCTGGGGCACGAAGCGCATGGCTTATGTAAGTACTTGCAGGTGTAACTCTACTTTAACGTGGTTGAACCTGGGTATATAGTATAACAGTTGTACCCCTTTATAAGAGGCATGCTCTGGGCAGCAATTTTGTCTCCTATTTGAGATATCTCTTGTATATGCATGGTACCATGTATACATTTTCTCAACTCATATTTTACTGTAGGCACACTGGTGTATCCTATACTCATTTGTCTCTTATGTCAGTGTCTTTTATAAAAGGGTTCGACGGTACTTTTTGTACAGTTAAACTAGGCATGTATAGAAAAAGTTTTGTGACTTCAGTACGAGTAGATTGCTGCATTGCGCTGTTTCCCTGCAAGCGCACTTCTCCGTATGGTAGGTACCATAATCATATCTTGTGTTGCCGAAAATGTTTTTCAAATGCCTTGCTTACCAAGTATGACAAGAGAAATATCACAGCTTTGTGGTGAAAAGTCAAACGCAGCAAAGTTTGCTGTGATACACACTATTACAAAATGCCTTACAAAAGCCTGCACGTGCACCGAATATTAAGTCTGGCAGACATCAATGTGTGTGGCAACCTGGTTGCTGACTGTTAAATACAGTAAAACCTTGTCAATTCGAAGTCACTGGGGCCGCGAGAAGGCTTCCAATTAAGCGGGTTTCCGAATTAACAGAATATACAAGAAGTGGGATGCAAGGAACTTAGAACTATTCAAAGTAATCAGTGCTTGTTATTTGCGGTGCCGGCTAGCTTGTGGCTCCAAATGTCATGTTTTCCACCTATACCTGGTCTTTATTTTGCCATGAACATGAAGGAACAGTGGGCCTCGCTGCCACCAGTAAAAAATAAAACGCGGTTTTAATTGACTGAAATGTGCGCTTGCAGAAAACAAGACATCTTCACTGCAACACAGTAGTGACGTACGGGTAGCATGTTGCCTGCTTCTCGCTTCATCAGCGCGTCATGATGCAACCATTCGCACATTCTTTCTATTAAATGCGAAGCATTTCTTAGCGAGCTTCAGCGACTTTGAGCGTATCTATCTATCTATCTATCTATCTATCTATCTGTCTGTCTGTCTGTCTGTCTGTCTGTCTGTCTGTCTGTCTGTCTGTCTGTCTGTCTGTCTGTCTGTCCGTCCGTCCGTCCGTCCGTCCATCCGTCCGTCCGCTTGTGTTTGGGTGCTCTCGTGGTCAGCCCATCTACTTGGCGTGAACCAAAATTAGCAAGAGAGAGTAAGATGGTTTGACGAATACGACGCGCTTGTCAAGACATAAATAATGTCACAATCCCGTCGTATATGTCGTCAAACACTTCCCACCAGACAGTGGCACATACCCATGGGCGGGTATGTGCCGCTGGTATGCGGGTATGTGCCACAGGTGATTGACAGTTGGTATCTGATCAGGAACGACGAGAACACACATGGGCAATTTTAACACGCAAGTGTTAAAAAATACCCACCGTTGGTAGCGTCGACCCGGCAAGTCCCAACTGGAGTCGAACCCAAGCATTCTGGGTGCCAATGAAGCATTTTACCGCAGAGCTACGCCAGATCTCGGAACTACTTTTCAAATGGACGATAATCTTCGTGAAATGTAAATAGTGGTTTCAGCGCTGCCTACCCAGTTTTATAAACATTACATATGTACTATTTTGATACAAGTCGGGTTAACGTCAGATGTGGTTAGTTGCCCTGCACTGTAGTTGATTTAGCAGAGTCCAGGGCAGAGTCCAGGGCAAGCATCTTCACGAGCTTCAGCGCTTCAAATCAGCTTCTGGTGTTGCTAATACGCATGTTCCAGTTGGCATCATTGCGCATGTGCAAACAACTGGTTATATTAACATCTGCAACTCTTTAACATATGTCTGTGTGTGCAACATTTGTACAATAATTTAGCTTGATTTCATGACATGTCGCTCAATAAAAAAATTGCAACACGGGCACCTTTTTTCCGCATGCTTCACATAACCTGGATTCCCCGGGTACGTGAGATCTGCCTTTTTTTTTCTCCTTAGCTTTTCTACGCTGTTTGACATCGAATTAAAATAACTTCCACGCGACGGATGCCATTCAAATTTGGCCAAGAAGACCTATGCATACCAAGCGATCAAATGATCGGCACATTTCGATCTTGAAGTTTGATGTCAGTGCTCCTTTAAATGAGCCCTGCAACACTTTTTGAGCATGGTCACAAATCGCTGCCGATCAGCTGTATACGTATAGTACAGGCTCCCGAGAACACGTGAGCCAAGTGTTACAGGGCAGCACGCACTCTAGAATTCACAATAAATTATCAAAGTAGGCTAAAAATTCATTTCTTTTCACTCGACAAATCACGGAATAAGCCCAAAAGTCACTCGTAGAAAGCCCATCTATCAGCCATTGGCTGATTTGAACATGGCGCACTCGGTTGTTACAGAGATCGCCTCGAGAGGCCATTGCTTGTCCACACGTGCGCGCACAATCCCACTGACAAGGCCGCGTATTCTAGAAAAAAAAAAGTGCTCAATGTCACGAGGGGTGCGTGATGTTCTATCTACCTGTCTATCTACCTATCTGTCTGTCTGTCTATCTATCTACCTGTCCGTCCGTCCATCCATCCCTCCCTCCCTCGGACGGCATCATCCCACGGACGGCATCATTTACCTCCGCCTTGTATTGTTGTGCTGATTTTAAAGTGATATTTCAGGCTTCCTCGATCGTGCTTCGCATATCAGCGATTCCCACTATGTGGGATCTGCCAATTTCTTTATAATTATGACTTTAATAATGGCCACGTATTCGAGGCGAAATCGGGATCGAACTCGCACGTGGGCATCCAGTGTTTTCGAATTAACCGAACTGGTGCCGGCCGTCACTTCAAATTATCCACTCAAACTTACATTGCAAAATACAGGACCGTGGAAATACTTCGAATTAAGTGGGATTTCGACATAACTGAGTTGGAATTAATGAGGTTTTACTGTATACAAGTTGGGGTGGATGCAAAATGGTGCTGTGCATTTTATATGTACGCTAAAAGCCATAGTTTCAGGGTGCCGCTGCTGAACCTTACATAGGCATAGAATATCGTCAGGTTCGAAAAAGGAAGATTCACCTGGAATTTACGACAGAGCATCATACAGACAAGTGGTAGATTATCGAAAGTGCAATTCGAAGGTCGTGGGTTCAGATTCCACCATCGAAGAGGGTAAGTTTTTATCTACAATAATTCCTTTCAATTTAAAGGAGAGTCGTTACACTACAGTGAATAAACTACAAGTACTATCCCCTAGAACTTTCGTGGCTTGATTGCCTGTCAGTTTCATTAGTTGTGTATAATACAGAAAAACGACCCCATTGGAAAAGTCCCGTACTTTTGTACACAAATTATGGTGTTGTTCTTTTCATCTTTGTCAGCCCCTTGTATTTGTTTTGTGTACATACAAAGTGTTCCACTGTGAAAGCATGCTAGTTTAATTCTAGAGCTGTGCATTTTAAGTTTTCAATGCTCTATGTACCTGCTACTTGTACTTTTTTTTTTATACTATTGCTCTAGACTCCTGTCACTGTCCTGCCTGAGGGTGCTGTGGGCAATTCAATGAATGAATGAACAAATAATTGAATTAAAAAATAAATGAAAAAATAAACAAACTCTGTAAACTACCAGCTATTTAATGAACTAACTTGTCTCGCATCCTTGCACATCTTACACAGGGGTGCTGCAGCTGAGTCCTGAGCAGCGTGAGCAGACTGTCACGTTAGAAGTGAAGCCACTGCAGGTCGGGTTCCTGCCCGTACCCACAGTGAGGCTGTCACGGTACATCCCATCCTCCTCGTCTGGCGGTACACCTTCCAAGAGTCTCGGTAAGCTGGGCGAATGCTGAAGCCACTGAATTCGGCCTTTGAAATCTTCGTTGCTGGGCACTGTTGCCATGGCTCCCGTACTTTCTGTGTAGCTTGAAGACAAGCAGGGTGGTACTGAGGTTTTGCGTTTACGACTTGTTAGTGCTTTTTCCTGTTTACTAATCTGTGTTAGCACATTGTAAATGTTGCCCCTGCCCTACTGTATGCGTATTTTTGACATCATACACTATTCATGGCTGAGCAGACCTGGTGGTAACGTAGGCAGGCCACCACTTGCGCAGTGTGAGCAGTAGTGCCATTGGAACAGAACCATCGCATGTAGTAGCTTTGGGCCACAGTTATGTGGCGTTTTGCAGTACAGAGTTTAACATGGCACACACGCAGGGACACACAAGTATAGAACACGGTAGGGATGGCACCTCTTTACTCCACTGTGCCAGTGTTGGCTCTGTGTTTACTCTTTGTCATGAACGACCTTTAACAATAGCCCGATTTGAGGACTTGGCTTTAGTGATGTTTTCTGGGTGTAATGCTTGTTAGTTTTCGCACCATTCTGTCCTTGTTATTAGTCAAAGCAGGGGTCAGCTTATAGTATTACATCGTCAAGTACATGTATAACGGCCCCACATAAAACGAACTTTCGCTCAAAACTAACGATACTCGCATGACAGTGGAAATATCCACTATTTCAATAGCACAAAATCGCGCTTAGAGCGAACGTCTCTGAGCGACGCCCATCGGTTACCCAAAACGGAGTTAGCGCGCCGGTGGCTTTCGGGGACCGCCCTTTCGGCCGCCGATAAGCTATCGGCGAGGTGTCCATAGATTTTTATTAATAAATTCCGAGCCTGTCTCTGCAGCCCTCTAGTTGTCACTCTTCCTGAGCATTTTTGGTTAAGCACCTGTTCATCCTTTCTGGCCCCGCTATTCTGAGCGGTGTTTTCATTCTGCCACCGATCTTTTGAAATCTGGTCGGGTCGGCAGGGTAGTATCCTCTTGTTTTTTGATTGCTGGTTACACTATCGTTGGCGTCGCCAGTCTAAAGTGACCAGACCATCTGCAGACATTATCGGTCCGTGACTGTACCCGATCGTATGTATCTGTGTCTTGTCTGGATCAGGGTCATATTGTTCCAGTGCACGTGCTTGCACCGCCCACCGTTCGCAATTTGTTTAGTTTTAAGACCTGTTCTCACTCACTTCTCACTCAGCTCAGCATGCCCTCCACATGCGTTCGGAAGCGTAAAAACGGCTTTTACAGGGACCGAATCACCAGTTATCGAAGTTGGTAGGGCCCCACTAGTCCATCAGCGCCAAAATGCTTTTGTATGACCTCTGCGCGTGCTGACCACTCTCCCAAGTTTTTCTATGCACGAGTTGCACGTTTCGTGAACCCTGTAAGCAAGCTGCCCGACCTGCCTTTTTCCCACGTGTTTTGGTTTTCAACGTCTTCTTCCCGCCATATGCTTCCTTAATCGTGAATCACTATCGCAACTCCTTCGCATGTCTCTCGCAAGACTGCTCTTCTCTGTTTGTCGCATCTCCGCTCCATTGTGCCATGACAGCTGCCAGTCACGTTGGAAGTTTCGCTTTTTGATAAGAAACGGGCCCAGAACAGTTTCATGCGTGTGGGCTTCTACGTTGCGTATGTGTGTTTTGCTCGTTGTTAGTGTGCATGTGTGATCAGGATGTGGAGGACGGGAGGCCTTCTGAGTTTTTTTCTGCCGCTCAACAAATGGTCGAAAGTGTGACCGCTTGGCTTGGCGTAGTTCGTGCGTTTAAGACTTATAATAGGTGCCGCGTTGTGGAGCGCGCGCTCATATCTGTTGACCGCCCTGCAGCTAACTTGCCGCTTCGAGTGTGCCTATATTCAACTGTTGAGATGAAGGCTTCGTGGGCGGCGGTGACGCCTACATGTGTGCGAAACTTTTTTTGCAAGGCTGACTTCGTCGACGTCGAACCCGATGCGCAGCTTCAAGCTTCTGAACAGGACCACTCTGGCAGCGATTTGTGGCAGCACGTAGTCGACTCCGACAAGGGGGGCGTGCGGGACATTTGTTGTGATGATTTCATTACGGCCAACAATGGTGCCAACACTGCAGAACTGCGCACGGACAAAGGCATTGTGAATTAAGCGCACGGCAAGAGCGACTGGGTGGAATAAGATTACGAAAACAATGAAACTTTGGAGCCGGAGCCCACGAGCGTGCTTGTGGCAATTGGCTACATTAATATCTCAGGCAGCTTATGCCACGGGTTTTAATGAAGAGCATGCTGCCGCTTCATGTAGGCTTGAGACCATCCTTATCGCTTCTGCTATTCGAAACACGTGCATCATCATGGTCTTTTTCGGAAAAAATGGTTTATGTTTTCACTCCCAACTTTTTTAGAGGTGTGTTTCATTTGCTATGAACTTCAGGATACACCAAATAGATGCTGCGTCACACTCAGGTTCGTTATAAGCACGCTTGATTGTACAGTAAAACCACAGGCTTTCAGTGGTGGGTGATAAGAATGTCATAGACTGAAGCAGAAGGCTATGCAGCGAAATAGCAACGCATGGTGCACCAACTCATGTTAGATAGTTATGGTGTAGTGGCGTTGCCTTTAACATTGCTTCAAAGCAATGGCACGCGAGGCTGTCCAACCGTCTGTGCTTTCTTTTGCACAGGATCTGAAGGCAGCAGTGCGCAGGGTACTGCCAAGCTGGAGCCATTCCTGCCAGGCCAGGTGTACAATTGGAGCCGAGCCACGCAGGTGCATGTATTGGCGCCTTCGACTACCAATAGCGAGCCGCCTGGCTGAAGAGACGCAGCACCGTGTGTTCCTTAGAAAAGGCCTCGCGAGGGGTGGACAGCAGTGTTCATCGTCAACCTCAGCACTGGCCTTGCCTGTATTATTTGCTGGACCCTTCCTTCCTCCTAGGCCACTGTACAAAGAGAGAGAAAGAGAGAAGGAAGAAAAAGGACTGGCTGCTGTCCTGATAGGGGATTGACAGGGACGTTTCCTCCGCCCATCCTCGTCGTTGTGCCTCTTTCTCTTCCAGGATTGCCCCGTTATAATTTTTTCATTTTCCAGGACCAGTCTTAGCTCCTATTGTCCACCCTGTGCTGCACCATCCTGCAATGACAGGTGTACGTTGCGCGATACGAAGGGAAGCTAGAAAAACATTGCAGAGTTTCGCACGCGCTCCTTGTAAATGCTGTGCCTGTTTTTGCAGAAAACTTCCGTTAAAAAATTCCCTGTTCCCCTCCACCCACCCCAGTAGTAGACCTGTTTTCCGACAAAATTAGAAAACGTTTTCCTTGTTTCCTTGCTGTAACATATGAGTGACATTCCCAATGCTGTCTTTTGTGTATTGTGAGTTGTTTCCAACTGTTTTTTCCTTGGGCTTACTTTGTATGTATGAATCGGGGGTGCGCCAGCCTTCCTTTCTTCCTCCCAGCTCAGTCAGGCCCTGCTTTAGATTGCTGTACAAAGTTGGAGACAAAGTCAGTACTCCCCCTCTTTTTTTTTCTTAGGAAACGTGTTACGCCGTTGTGATGACAGCGGCATGAAACTCCTAGCCTCCTGTATTAAGGCCTCCTTTCGTCTCCGTCCGAAGAGGCCTCGAGGGTTGTAAATGTTTGCCAAGCAACACGGCTCGGTGCCGGTGCTTCGTGTTTTGTTTTGTGCCTGTCAGGGTTGTTGCGCAGTGCTGCTCAGAGGCGTGTGTGTTGCTTTAGAAAACAAAAGAATAATAAATAGGCAACATTGTAATTAATTACCGCCACGCTTTATTTATTTTGTTCACACCAATGGATGCCCAGCCTGCCCTGCTTCTCCAATCTTAAACATCAAAATAGTGGGCAACCATACAGTGCCAGCCAGCAAACCAAGTGCTGCATTGTTTCGAAAAACAGAAGCAGCAAGGGCTGCAGTTTGAAAGTACGCGTTTTTATGTGTTGTGATCCTATGATGCAAACTACACTGGGTTTTGCTGTCCATCATATTAAGACATAAGCAAAATTTTAGCAGCATGTGTGCACATTTGCTCAAGGGCATGACACCAACTGTAAATAAAGAAGCATGCATTGTAGTAATCAACCAAGGTTGTAGTGTGGGCTTGTTGGTGAATCATCTAACTTGGATAGCCCCACCGTGGTGATCTAGTGGCTCTGCTGACCCGCAAGTCGCGGGATTGAATCCCGGCTTAGGGTGCACGTTAAATTAGGGTGCACGTTAAAGAACCCCAGGTGGTCTAAATTTCCAGAGCCCTCCACTTCGGCATCTCTCATAATCATATAGTGGTTTTGGGATGTTGAACCCACATATCAATCATCAATTATCTAACTTGGATATACAGTAGCGTGAAGCAATGCATACACACGAGGAGGCACATGAGAAGACTGCACAGTGCTTTGTGCATTCCATGGTTTCTGGAAAATACTCTAAGACTATAATAATGATAGTGTTTGGAACAAAACAGACATTACAGAAAAAAGGGTACGAACCTATTAGCCCCGAGCACGAACACTGGCGTTGCTGCTGTGACAGCGATGTGACAGAGCAGGCAAGGACTTGCCTGCTCCGCTACTGCTGTTTGCCCTTTTCTGCACCCTTGGTGTGCCCATGCTTCAATGATGTGGTGGTGATTACTCCTCGATTTCATGATGCAAATCTTTCAAGGTATCAGCTTGAAAAATCTGGCTGAGAATAGGCAAACTCCTGTCCGAGCGGGAGAGGTTTGTTGTTCTCACTGTGTACTTCGAAAAATCGGCGCTATGAAAGTATGCTTAGTGGTTCTAACTTCAGTACTACTAGGCATATACTTATGGGTTAGAATGTGTTTGCCGAATTGTCTCAAATGATATTCGGACATCTTCAATTCAGTAACTGTATTGCGGTTTACCATGAAAGTTATGTCTGCGTTCGCAAAATATGTAGGTGATTTGTGAGAATCCGCCACATCGCTGGCCGATCCAGCCACTCATTTTAGAGGAGGGGAGGGGGGCCGCCTATAACACTGGAGAGGGGGGCGTCGTCCTGACTTTTTTGTTTTTACAAGCTGAAAAACTTTTTCATAGCAGAAATACAGTTAAGGTGTCCTCGATTTGATCGCACTTCCTGCACTAGTTCAAGAGTACTGCACTTGGGCCCTCGATTTAACGAGTGCAGCTCATGCCACCTCTTTTGCTCTTGTTTGACGCCGTGCTGCACGAGTTCTTTGGCACTTCAGCATGAGCCTTCCCGTGAGTTCTCGTTTCATGCAAGTAGTGCTAGGTAAATGATGTGGCTGCACTTCTTCCCCTGATTTGACTGTTTCACTGAAACCGCTAGTGTTGTGCTACGCTGACACTAAAGGAACTGGCGTGGCACTTGCACGACACATTCGTTTAGTATGTGCAGAAATTGCAGCGAAATCGAGGAGACCTTTATTGTGTGCTCACAGTGGTTTCACTAATTTGTGATGGGAGGTGGACTGCGAGCACTGAAGTGAGGGGGGGGGGGGGGTCAGCTCGCCCCCACCGCCTTCTGTATCCAGCACTGCATCACATTTATATATTTATCATAAGCATGTGCTTGTGACAAACATAATGCTAAGTGCTTGCAATCACTTAAATATTTATTGAATTAAATGAAATAATTCGGCCACACTCACAGCAATTTCTCAAAAGCTGAGATGTCCGTTCATCGGATCTTGTGCACAGACTTCTTTTTAACAATCACCAAATATTATTTAGTCATAAAGCCTAAATTGCGTTAAAGGAGTAGTGATACCAAATTTAAAACTCGCAATGTGGCGTTCATTCGATTACTTGATATGCATAAGTTTTTTTTTTAGCGAAGTACGAATAGTGGTCATTACGTAGACTTTATTCTATTTTGAGCCCAAAAGGCGTCCATGGCTCAACGGTGCGTTCCCGGCAAAGAGATATCGACAGTATTTTGACGTGTTCAGCTAGCTCCTAGGCCCCCGCTCAGGCTCAAAGTGACGATGAGCAAGCAGTGATGATGTCGGCAATTTTAGTATTGGCATTGCGTTGTCTACATGTGGTACCACTGCCGGCGACACCTGGTAACAGCTTCACCTGCTTTATTTTGCTTGGTTCATGCAGCACGTTCGTGTCAATGCTGCGTTTTCGTTGAGCCGCTTCGGGTGATTTGTCGGGAAATCTTGAGCGTGAATGTGAATATTTGAAGCTATGTTCATCGCGAACAAGTAACATGCACACAGCGTTCAATTGTCTTACCAGCCAGTGTGGACCAAGCGCGCGTCTCCAGCTGCCTCATCGCTCCTCAATCCGACATCGATTTCAGAATAATTTCTGATAGAACCAAAAATAATTTGCCTTGCCGCGAATCGCCCCTATTTTATATTCCTCAATGTTTTCGTCCTCGCTTGTGGATACTTATGACGGCGGCGACGTCAGTAGAGTGGCGAAGACATACCTATACACAGGCGCACCGAGCAGACGAAATGTCGACTGAAACTCGCGTCACCATTTCATGCGGCCGACTGATCATATGGGGCAGGATTGCGCGTGGCGACTGCTTGGCAGTGCCGAAAATTGACGGGCTTGGCTCCTGTTCTTAATTGTGTTTGATACTGTTCATAATAATCGACTACCAGTATGTTTGTCACGTAATATTGGTGCAAGTGCTGTCTATTCTTCTGTACGCAGGGTCATTTTGATGTAAACACTGCTTTGCAGTTGAAGCACATCGTATTGTGCACTTGTCATCATTCCATACATGAGGAGTGTTAGCATCTTAGTTACTCAGTGATAAGCAAAGTTTTGCATTGTTGTTGTCCAACTGTGGTGCTGTTACTTATGAGCTATGCGACGAGTTTTAATTGTGCTTGAGATGTTTTACAGCGAAAGCTGTTATAAGATCACAACTCGGGTCGCGCGCAGCACCTTAGTTGTTTTCGCCACTGCCGGTGTCTGTAATCACATTGGGCGAAATTAGAAAAAAAAATACATAGTACCAATTACACAGTGGGGCTCGAACCTGGGTCCGCTGGGGACCAGTCCAGTATTCTGCTACTGAGCCACGCCGGCTTCCTTAATCTCCTGAGCTACGCCGGTGCTTGGGACTTGTTGGCAAACTTGCCTTAGGCAGGCTTGATGTTGGTAAAGCAATTGCGTTAATCCTGTGACGGGGCGAGAATTAGGCTTGTAGAAGAGCGTCCACAGAGAATCGGCAGCCGAACAAGATGGCTGAGTTGCCTCTCGCGCAAGCGTCTAACGCACAGCTGTCTTCGTCGTCTTCACAAAGTGCCACGCTTTCTCCGGTCGAAGATGCACCGTAACATCACTCCCCTACGACGGAAGCGCCGTCACGGCGCTTGGTACAGCGGCGACGAACTAGCAGGATGATACGGTTAAAGTCTGGAAACGTGGACAACGTCCGTCTGGAGTGAGGAGGCCGAACAGGCATTGTTTAGGGGTGTGATCTCGGAGCTCACGTCACTGAGTTGTCGTGCCACTTTGTAGGGGCCATGGTAGTGTGGTAGTAGCTTCTCTGATAAGCCGACTTGGCAGTTTGGTGTCCAGAGAAGTACCAGAGACCCCGGCGAGAAGTGCACGCTTTGGTGGCAACTGTCATAACGGTCTTTTTGGTGCTCTTGCGACAAGTGCAGCCGATCATGGGCAAGCTGACGGGCTGCATGGTCTCAAGAAACGACATCGCTGGCGAACTCAAGTAGACAAGGGGGCAGCCGAAGGAAGGAGTGTGTTAAATGGTAACGCTGGATGTCGGCCAAACAGCAACTAAAACTGAGAATAACTGGCTATTGTATCGCAACAGTTGTACCGCAAAGGTGACAAAGGGGTGTGCTTTGTCCCAGTCACAGTGATCTGGTGAAATGTACATAGACAGCATCTGCGTCAGCGTTCAGTTCAGATGCTCGGTCAATCCATTTGTCTGTGGATGACAAGCGGTGGTATGCTTGTGCTCAGTTGAGCAGGCCAACGATAGTGCCATCCAGAACACGTGAAAGGAAGTACCTTACTTGATCAGTAAGCAGCTGCCGTGGAGCGCCGTGATGAAGAATGACTTCATGCAAGAGAAAGTCAGCGACGTCAGTGGAACTGCTTCTCGGTAGTGCTTTAGTGATGGCAAAGTGTGTGGCGTAATCTGTGGCGACTGCAACCCATTTATTTCCGGAGGTGGACGTAGGAAACGGGCCCAACAAGTCAAGGTCAACACGGAAGAATGGTTCGGTCTGTATGTCAATGGGCTGTAGAAGGCCAGACGGTAGCACGGAGGGGCGCTTGCAGCGTTGGCAGCGGTCGCAAGCAGTGATGTAGCGAACCACAGAACAATACAGTCCGGGCCAGAAAAAGAAACGTCGCACACGATCGTAGGTTCGAGAGACGCCTAGGTGACCGGCTGTAGGCTCGTTGTGTCTATAGTTGTTCAGGAACGCTGGTACACAAGTGATGCGGGAGCACGAGTAGTAATTCTGGGCCATCGGTGTTGAAGCTGTGACGGTACAGAATGTTGTCGTGCAGTTCGAACAGGCGTACGGAAGGGTCTGTTGGAGCAGAGGTCAGACGCTCGATGATGGAGAGTAACGATGGGCCCCGTCGTTGTTCGGTGGAGATATCACACAAAGCGTGGAAAGCACGCAGGGGTCTGATTCAAGGTCTGTCAACTAGGGCGTTTCAACCGGATGACGTGACAAACAGTCTGCGTCTGTGTGCAGGCGTCCCGATTTGTAGTGGACCACGAACGAGTATTCTTGCAGACGCAGCACCCAGCGATCGAGACGTCCAGATGGATCCTTTAGGGATGAGAGCCAGCAAAGAGCGTGATGGTCAACAGCAGAAAAAGTTCGGCCATACAGGTAAGGCCTGAACTTTGTCACAGCCCACACTAAAGCTAGGCATTCACGCTCAGTGATGGAGAACTTCCGTTCAGCAGGTGAAAGAAGACGACTGGCGTAAGCAATCACGTGGTCCTTCCCGTGCTATCGTTGGCCGAGGACCGCCCCAATTCCATGACCATTGGCATCGGTCCGAAGCTCTGTAGGTGATGCATGGTCGAAATGGGCCAGTATTGGTGGCGTAGTCAGCAGATGGATAAGAGCCGAAAAG